TGAAGCAAACGAAAACTGGCAAACATTTGCAAGTGTAACAGCAGCTTCTTTTGTTGTCAGCATTCTAAACCAATGCAATGACTTTGAAGATTGGCCACATTACCAAGGTGAACAGATCAACTTTTATCTTTCATAGGCCTACAGTATATTTGCTTGCAGTCACTAACTAGTCATGTATGCTTTTTTAGTTTTGTTTTCAATAAATGTGCTGCAACCGAATTGCCAAAACTGAATCAAAAACATGGTCAATGACCTATGATCATGCGCTGATCAATGACTGCAGCTCTTGGATCAGAAATGTTACCTGGTTGTTGACGTCAATTCAACATACAGGAGTTCTATAAAAATGGGTGGATCTAGCAAAATGGCATGAATAGCTGCGATACGCACCACTCGCTATCCCCTCATCTTGATGTTTTGCTGTGATGTCTTTATGTTTTTAGTCAAGGAAGAAGTTTTCAGTGACGAAGATTTAGAGTGGCCTTACCTAAGTTGCTTATTGTATGGAAAATATTTTTTTCAAGCTTTTCGCTCGATTGCAAAGTAGAGATATAAATAGTGGGACATCAAATCTGTTTACCTGGCGATGACAATTTTTCTGCCTGGCAGAAGAAAAGGAACAAGAAATCTTCTGTTCGCATATGTGGACGTGCATATTTCGTGTAAAATGATGCACAATAGGGACGCATAATGCAATGGCACGAATTGTCCTTGAAACAAACTCCTCAGGAGACGTTTCATTAGGAAAGGAAAAAGCTCCATTGCTACAATGAATCTGTTGGCTAAAAAGATCTGGTCTAATGATTTGTTTATATTTGTTATCATGCAGATGGTCGAAATAAAGAATCGTCTCCGCGTGACGCTTTAACTCCAAAGAAAGGAAAAACTCGTTTAACAGGTAAAATAAGGACATATCTATAAGCGTGCCCGTTAACCCCCACCTCCCAACCCCATCTTCCCGCCCCCTGCCTTTGTAAAATAAAAGTGAGGGGATCCAGCAAAAGGGAAAAAAAATAGTTGCCATACGTACTACTCGCTATCTCCTCATCTTAATGCTTTTCTGTGATGTCTTTATGCTTTTAGTCGAGCAAGGAGTTCCCAGTGACGAAGATTTAGAGTGGCTTTCGCACCAACTCGAAAATTGGGAGGAACTCGGGCGTCGTCTCGAAATTGAGGAAGCAACTTTAACGGCGTTTGACGATGACTATAAGAAAAAGCGTAAAAAAATCTACAAAATGTTACTACATTGGAAACAGAAGGATGGCTCAGCTGCAACATACAAGGTCTTACATGATGCATTGTGTCATGAATTTGTTAAGCGCACAGATTTAGCTGAGAAACTTTGCTGTCAACAGCATGAATGAC